GAAAACGAAAACAAGGTAAGTTGATCTTTAGAAAAAAAAGATGATTTTTTTTTTTTTAATTAGAGTAAACAGTTGTAGAATAATGTTTATAGAACGTGATTAGAGGGAGAGATTTTAGGGATTTCAGTTGTTATATCTGCCGATAGATATATTGCCATTTGATTTTTTTCACTATTGTTTTTACTATTGATATCAATTAATTACTTAAGTTAAAATCATTAATATTTTTATTATCAATAATTAAAGTTTAAACTAACAGGCCGATATTTTAAATGATGTAAACTAGCTTTTATTAGTGTTAAATGTTTTAACCGATACAAGTTAGTATCAATTTAATCCAACAGATGTAAAATGAGTAAATAATTACATCGTTTTTGGAATGTGAAGCTAAGTCACATACATATTAGAATCGTTTCTTATTGATGTAAAATCTCTATCATTTTTTAAACGATTTTAACAAAAATGAGTGAATACATCGATTACTTAATTGATGTCAACTCATATATTTGTCTCAATTCTTTACAAGTGATGTAAACCAATATAGATTTGTATCAATTTTATTGACTCGATGTAAAACAAATCAAAAATTATATCAGTTATTATAATTGATGTTAAACTACAAAATTTGTATCATTTATTAACAAATAATTTAAAATAATATCATTTAATTTTGTGATACTATTTATGTGATGCAATACACACTTTTTTTTGTAGTGTATTTACCCCTACTATTTTGATTTATTAAATAGAAAAAAAAATATTTTTAGTGTTTTAGCGAAGGACAAAAGAGAGATTTTTTTGTTTTTCTTAATATTTGTGAGAATGGATAGAATGACACATTTTATGAACCATAACGAGTAAGAAGTTTTGTCAAAGTCATAAGTGGTAGAGCTCGTGGGTTAAAAAAACCTACATAAAAAACAAATAAAACTACTAAAATCAAAGTTATAAAATAATCAATTACTATGATTTAGTAAAAACAAAAATAATAACTTATGAATACCTTAATTATTATATGATACATTAATTGGATTAGGCATGATAATGTAAACCTAGATTTTTTGCATGGCATTGCGTTCCGTATAGCTTACTTAGTTTCTTTAATAAATTATAAATATTTAAATTATAAATATTATTAAACTTTTCAAAATCTACCATATTTCTCACCCACACCGATTATGATGTTTGACCACTAGATATATTTGGGATATATTTTAGAAGAAGCATGTGTGCAATTTGCATGCGTTTTTTGTACAAACGATGCATTAATATTGCTTCAAGAATTTGTTCTTGGTTCTTCCGAGAGATCTTAGATTAGTTTTGCTTGTTTCTTTCACATATCATGCAAAGTAAACTCATTATTCTTGAATTCAAGAATTTGCTATTTTGATTCTTTTTCACGTAGTTTTTTTGGAAAGCTTAGTTTTTTGGTGTTCTAATGGGGATCGAACCAAATGGAATTGGTGGTTTGCATGATTATTATTTGTTAGCTCACAAAATGTTTATTTGTTAGCTAACAAATTGTTTACACAACAACAAAAATAAAATAAAATAAAAAAGTTAAAGAAACATGATTGTCACTCAATCATGAAGTTAAAATTATTTCTCTATGTTTTATAATCTTCATGATTTAAAATTTTGATATCATTTTCAAGAATTCATGTGTGCGGATTTTAAAATCTTTGTAAAATACTTTGGATATTATGTTTCTAATAGCTTATACATATAACTTCATTTGAATTCATATACTTAAGGCTGTAAATGGGAGTTGGGTTTAGATGGAGTTGTTTGGTTTTTAAAGTTAGAAAATGTATTCTAGTTTTAAACTTTTCTACGGGTTTATCTACTTACACCCCTTAACAGAGATAACTCTAAGTGTAAGGTTTGTTAACAACGCCTGGTTGTTGCAACCAATAGTCAAAAGGCTATAAGACCGCCTGGTAGTATAAGGAGTTCCCATGAGATTTAACAAACTGTCAAATTTTTTTCTTTCGCTTTTAACCTAAGTTTTGGGCATCATATCGATGTACATAATTTGTGCTTGGACGCGAATAGAACCATAAGGATTGAGTATGTCTTTCCTTGGTAGACTATAATCTCGAGCAGTGTCTTGTTAATACTTGGGAGGAATGCCACATGTTCACCATATTTCTTATCTCTCTTACATTGAACTTCAAAGAATTTGCTGAGGTAGCAATTCTTTTCAATGCTAAACGGATACATTATACTTGTCACATTGTCGTTGGCATGATTTTTCAACAAATGCTAAACTCGAAACTAGTACAATTAGAGTCGGAAACGGTGTCAACCAGAACATTCTTCTTCACTGAAACAAGTGAAAAGATATATATTTAAAATATTAAAATCCATCTAAAGAGGAGAGACTTTCTCTCAAAGTTAAAATAAACCAATGCAAAAAAGACTTAAAAGGGAAACAATATTTTAAGTCATAAAAATCAAAACATTTATCCTCTCCTTACCTCTGATATAGATTTATCAAAGTGTAATGCTTATATGGGGATGGAATGGAAAGATGATTATGTACATATAATATTTTGTAATCGAATTATAAGAAATTGACACAACAATCCTTAGTATACTTGTGCAATTCAATATGAATATGAAAAAAATTACGGCAGACAAAATTACAAAGCATCGATCATATTTATTTCATATGGAATAGAAAAAATATAGTCATACCATTAGAGCATCTCTATCTAGGGTTTTTCATTGAGAACATGATTTGACTCGGATTTCTATTTATTTCTCTTTCCTTCCTCTGGTTTCACAATCAACAATATCAACCAAGAACACATTAAGGAAAGGTCTCACTCGATCTTTTTTTTCACTCTAAAGACACATCCGATTCAATATTCGGTCCTGATTTTTATAAACCGTTGATCAAAACCAAGTATAAACCGATCACTAATCACAAATAATTTCACTTCGATAAAAACATATCGCAAATTATGAACTACGTGTGCATATGGACTTATTGGCCATTTCTTTTTAAGTTATGATTATAATGCCTGGTTACATGATAACATTTGATTTGGTTTTAACAAATACATCGCAAATCAATAAAATAAAATAAGAGTAACTAGCCATTTTTGATGATTTAATTAAGAATATAGCATCATATATATATAAATTAAGAAAATAGCATGTGAGGGTTGAGAAAAGACAATTTTGGGGTGGAGTTGTTGTGAGAAATGTCTATCGTGGGGTTTGTGAAGCGAGCAAAAAGAGAGTAGAAGAGTGAAGTCTCTGAAGCTATGAAAGAGATTTTAATAGCACTTAGTATAACTTTCATCCATTTATATTTGTTTGCATTATACCTTTTCAAAAAATTGGATTCGAAATCTCAAATTTATTAGCATATGACATAGTTTGAATTTTTATACTCGGATATGAATTTCAAAAATGATAAATAGTGTTTGTAAGTAAAAATATGTTGTACTATTTAGAATATATATGAATACAATGTTGTACTATACTATTTTCCATTAATCATTCATAAATCAATTTTAACTTTAATATATTAAACGCTAAATCGTAAACCCTAAACCATGAATGATATACCCTATAAGATATAGCATAGGGAACCGAAAATGTCGAAACGTACGACAAATAAGAAACGTTATATCATAAAGATACAACTTAGAAAACTCAAACAACCAAACTAAACGCACGCCAAAAACAAATGTTATATCATAAGACATATATCATAGTGAACCGCATTTTTTGATTAAACACAAGCCGAATAAGAAACACTATACCCTAAAAGATACAACATAAGGAACCCAAATTACCAAATTAAACGTTTTGTCTATATAGAACACGAAACATAAATGGTATAGAACAAAAAAACACTGTATCTTGTTTGTTGATTTAATCTCTATATCAAATAATTAAATCTTTCAATCATGTGAAAAGTAAAAACCAGCATGTTTTTGGCATTCCATATAGTTTCAGCCAAGAAAAATAAAATAAATTTATTACGGCGAAAATTTGCATAATTAGTTAAACAAGCTTTACAAAATTTAATCACTTTTGTAAAATAGTACAGACTTTAATTAAATAGAATAGTAACATGTTTAAGGTTTCCAACCATGGAAGCTGAATCAGTTTCTATAAGTGGCTATTATGTTTGCTTAGGATTTTGATGTTGGAAAGTTTAGGATGATCAAAATCTTTAATCGAAACAGAATAATGGCATCTCCAAAACGATGTAGTGATGATGGTGATGCTAGCGGCCATGGTGGTGATCACGGCGGTGGAGGAAGTTGAAGTTGCAGCGGAGGAGGGAGCATAAGAGGAGTGGTGGTGAGAGTGACGAGGATATAGAGGATGCAGGTTGGATTGCTGTTAGACCTCCATTTCGATCACGGCAGAGCCAACGAAGAAGAAGAACATAACAAAATATATATAAAGCACTCATATCAGTAAAAAATACTTACTCCCTAGTGACCAATGTTATGGTTAACCAAGTGTGACAATCCCTTAATAATATTAATGTTAGTTTTCATTGACTGTAATCATAACTCACAAGAACATTTGAACAATATCGAAACGACACCGTTCCACGTTTTGTAATAATTTCAGAATTTTTAATAACCGAAATCCGTAAAATTCTCAAAACTCTTTGCAAATATAACATATTCTTTAAACTTTAAAATTAAAACAAATCTCTTTTTTTTTTATATATATTTATCTAAACCAAGCAACTCCATCTAAATCCAACATACACTAACACCCATTAAATAATTTTTTTGATCATTGTTCATAAACTCGGTCCTTGAGTTGAACATCTTATATTATAGCATCGATAGATAATATAGTTTTGCAAATTTGTTTATGAACAATGACTTATAAGATTATGGACCATTAAAAATATATAATATAGTTTTGCAAATTTGTTTTACATACAATGACTGAAAGAAAATCACAAGAATAAATCAGATTGCCCAAGGCTCATTCATCGTTGTATATTTGTATGCTTTTTTTTTTTTTTTTTTCTCCAATAGTGAACTTTATTCAAACCATTTGATACAAGGCCAAGGAAAGCCCAACATACATGAACTGTTAACGAAGCAAACTAAAGGCCTAGAAGAAACCAACAGCGCACCACTTATAGAAGATATTTTTGATCGTAAAAGACCACTCAAAGACACGTGACAAGACACGTGGAAGATGAGCAAAACAAGATTTCCATCATCATCCTTCTGTTGAAGGATGAGTCTTCGATTAAACCTGCAATAAGACAAGAAGAATTAGTCAGAGAAGAAGAAACAAAGCAAGACAAAGAAGGCGTCAAAGAGAAGAAGAAGCTTCGTGTGGAGGAGTCAACGAGAATATACAAGTCAACAAGAAAGATGGTGTTGGTGTGATGGGCAGAAAAGCCAAACGAATTAAGTATGTTTTTTGTTTGTAAACAAAGTTAGTAGCTAAGGATAGTATTAATTAAAATATCTAGTGGAGTGTAGTTGTTAAAGGTGGCTTGGAGAAGTGAACCTAGTTCCTAGAAATATGGTCTAGTGGAAGAGTTTTGTCTAAAGTAGCAAGTGAGATAAACCACTATATGTATGTGGGTTGTGGGGTTGTGTGTTGAGTATCTAAGCGATCCGAAAACAAGATGTAGTATTCAAGTTTATTCTCTCTAAGTTACTAATCTGTTTTTGGTGTTTATCAAACAGACGCAAAACAGAGAGTGAAACATATAACTAGAGAGAAGAGTTGAACTAACCTTAAGTGGTGAGAGTGAGGTTAGTGAGAATACCAACACCTTCGCTATCGGAGACATCGATTTTTCGGTGAATGAACCATCGCCGAGATTACATCGTCGGTAGAATCGTCTGTTTTTCACCAGCAATAGCAAAACAGTAACATGGAGATATTTCATAACGTTTAAACTCAACCAAATTGCTATAATTATCAAGAGATTTGAGATCCAACAATATGAGAATAAAATCCGATCAATCCAGAAACTGTTGATTAAAACCAACCGAAGCTCTAAAAGCAAGTAACAGCTAAAGACAATCCAAATATGCTGAGGAAAGTGTTTCACATCTTCATATCTTTGCAAAGCGCAGAGATCTTTTCCGTGAACCGCAAACTTAAAGGATGCACTGGAAAAGAGACTTTTGAGCGAAAATCGCCACAAACGCCGTAACCACCAGCACCGATCCGACGAAGAAAAAACTAAAACAAACAACGGCAACAAAGACACCGTGGTAGAAACCGAGAAAAGAAAGAACCGAACAACGCCAGAGGAAAACTAAAGCTAGCCATCGTCGCGAGAACCGATCGATGCTAGACAAGAAGCCATCCAACCACCGCTATATGAGCTGATAGCTGACGGACAGATGCCGAAATACAAACCGGACGGCTAAAAGGAAGAATAAGCTACTCTCTCTCTAAAAGATTTGAGAGAGAGAAGAGAGAGAAGAGAGAGAAGAGAGAGTATTGTGTTATATTTGTATGCTTAAACAAAGTTTATATAGTTTGTTAGGCGAACACAGTTCACTAGGACGGTCCTACTAGGACCCAACTAATTACGACAGACAAGTGGATCCGGTTGGATAGTTTCGGGGCTACGACAATGTTTTAATGGTTTACTTCAAATTAAAAAACTCAAAATTCAAAAGCCGTTTGCTTTTTTTGAAATCTACATGACGGATAAGAAGGAGATCATCGATATCTACAGTTCAGATGAGGAAGACGAAGAAGAAGAAGATGATGATATCGATGGCGAGAGTAGCGACGAAGACGATTATGAAGAAGATGATGATGATGATGATGATGATGATGATGATGAAGAAGATCGGAGTTTGAGGTATTTGCGTATTTTTGGCGGTGATCTATTTCTCGATTTGATTCTAGTTTTTGATCGATTCTGGATTAATTCGATTTCAGTGGAGATGATAGCGAATTGAGCGAAGATGATTCTACGGATTCGAATTCGGATTCTGATGACGACGATGAAGACGATGATGAGGAAGACGATGATGAAGACTCTCTAGTTGATAAAGTCACTCGTCTATTCAAAGGTTTATCAATTTAGGGTTTTATGAATCTTAATTTGTTCATACTTGCTTCGGTTTGCATCAATTTAGGGTTTATGAATCTTGGTTGATTGATTAGTAACAATCGTTTATATGGGTACATTTTGCTTAATATTTGGGGAAATCATTGAAATTTGAATTGGATCATTCTAAGTCTATGTTAGAAATTGGGAATGTTGTTGCTACATATCTTTCACTAAAATCTCTGTTGGGATTTGGTCTTTGGGAAACAAGATTGACTCAGAAACATTTCTTAGCTCAGAAGCTTTTTTAAGGTAATCAAAGACTTGAGCTACTATTGAGGTGATCTGGTTCACTTTCGTATAGATTTTTAGTAATATGAATTTTAAAGAAGTTTCTATACCTGCCTTATAGAGCTGCATGTTTGTTTGATATGAAGCAGACTTTTATCTGAAATATCATCTTGTTCTCACAGATTTTGGTTTGTTAATGTCTTCCTCTAAAACTCCCCAGGTTCATTTGGTGACTGATCAGCTGAGCAATAAACCCAATTGATTATCACAATGATATCTTATGAAAGGTCCCATCTCATCTGTTTCCTTTACAATCCTTTTTTTCCTCTCCCTGAGATGATGTGCTCTTTCTTACTGAGTGTGCGATGTGTACTTTGTTGGTCGTCTTACAGATTGATGGTCATAAGACTGATTGTATAAGAGTGTTGGTTGATGTTGAGAGAGGTAGAGGCAGAGCTGTCCCAAACTGGCTTGGTGGTGACTTGGGACCTCAAGAGTTGGTGGAGAACCTCCCGTCCCGGTTACTGTCAGAGGAACCAAAAAGACCATGGGAGGAGTGGTAACGATATATTCACTTTCACTTTCATTTCGTTTGCCTTGTTTTGGTGCTGATAATGCTGTGGCCTTTGTCTGCAGTGAGGAATCTCGGGATAAGGAGAAAGAAAGGGAATGATTGAGGTAAAGCATCACAGACGCTAGGACCGAGGAGGCAGGGAGAGCAGACGGGATCGTGCTACAATGAATCATGTCAGAGACTGTGATAGGAGCTGTATGATACAAACCAACGAAGTAAAATGGTTCTTGTAGTTGTTGTACCAAAACAATTTCCAAGTTTGTCATCTTCTCTTTGATTATTTCTTTTGCTATCTATACTCTTAGGTAATTTACACACTTTTTACAATTACAAATCATTCAAAAATAACGTATGAAAAGTTCCAAGTTTTGTATTTGTTCCTAAAGAAATAGCTTAAACAAAGCAAAAAAAATGTGCAGACGATGCATTTTATAACTCCAAAAGAGACGCGTTGAGTTTCAAATCAGCTTAAACATGTTCTCAAAATCCATACGATCCCAAACAGCAAACTATCATCAAAGAAATTCACACATCACATGAGCATACAGCACATCACTAATCCACTTTTGTCTTTAACAATACACCATTACAGAGACTTCGAAACTTACATAAAACACTTTATTCAAGTACCCGGTGGTAACAAGAACGATTCGGACGTTGCAGCGGTTTGAAATTGGGATGTTGAAGCACTTGAATCCCAATTTATGTCAAACTGCAGAACTTCATTTTCTTCATCACTGTCGACCATTGGTTGTGCTCCAAGCTGCAACGAACGGATCCGCTCCAACTCTACAGATACTTCTCTCATGGTTGGTCGTTTGGGACCTCTGGGACTCACGCACCTCCTAGCTAGACTTGCCACCGCTGTGACTTGTTCAATGTTGTGATTATCTTTCAGCTTGACATCAATCACCTCGACCAATCTACTCTCTTTAACTGCAAGAGCAAAGTCCCTCGCTAAGCACCTGTTTTGTTGAGTAACCGTCTTCTCACCTGTGATAAGCTCTACCAACACAACACCAAAGCTATAAACGTCGCTCTTGTCCGTGTACAACATCGTTTGGAAATATTCTGGATCCATGTAACCGGCGGTACCTGCTACTTCAGTGATCAAGTGTGTGTTGGCTACATTTACGGACCTTGAAATCCCAAAATCAGACAGTTTGGCTTTACGGTTCTCATCGAGCATGATGTTAGAGCTTTTTATGTCCCGGTGATAGATCTTGATTGAGGCGTCTGAGTGCAGGTACGACAAAGCTCCAGCAATGTCTACTGCGATGGCCAAACGCAGTTCCCAAGGGGAATTATCAGACCCATGATGAAGAAGATTGGACAGGTCTCCGTTGGGGACAAATTCATACACCAAGGTTGGCACTTCTGTCTCGAGGCAACATCCTAAGACTTTGACGATGTTTCTGTGGTTGATCTGCGCGAGGATCACAAGCTCGTTGATGAAATGCTCGAGCCTGTGTTCATCCACGGATGTGGACTTCTTCACAGCGACTATCCTACCATCCACAAGCATACCTTTGTAGACAGTACCTTGACCACCTTTTCCCAGCACCCTGTTAACGCTGAAGTTTTCTGTAGCTCTATTGAGATCGTTCGAAGTGAAGACTATTATCTTGTCAATGCTGCCTGCCGTTGAATTCAGCTGTTGTTGCAAGAGTAGACCACCATTGCGTTTGAAGAATCTCTTTTTTCGGTTGATCTGCCTTTGTCTCTTGATGATAACGTATAGCCAGAAGGCCACACCGACACTTATCAACACACCAAAACTCGTGCCAACACCTGAAAATGCACAAAAGAAAACTGAATAAAGACACTCTGATAACAAGACTCTGATAATTAATACAAACAGATGGGAGAGTGTGTGAACAATAACTTCTTACAATGTGACAATAGTATTCTTTGATTCAAAGCCATAATGAAGATGATTAAGAAACAACTTTTAAAGATCTTAACCATTCTTCTTCGACCAATTAACAACAAAGGAACACAAACTTTATCATACAGAGAGATAAGAAACTGATATTTAACATATCATTATGTACCATTATTATATTTCTCATGCAATTTCGATGGTAAAATCTTTCATATAAAAATAATGATAATAACAATAATTCTCATGCATTTTCACCATCCTGCATCATATATATGTATGTTTATATGTGTGTTCCGTCGCTTTGCATTTTATCCCAAAATATGTTGGATATATATGTATCTTATATTTTCCATAGATCTTCAAGTCAATCTGTGTGTTGAATTAGGTTGTTAAACCTTCTTCTCCCTAAAGGATCCTTTAGTTAATTTGCACAGTAAGATCTACCTAGCTATTGTATTATACATTTCTCATCCAAATCTGGCTTGATTTTTGTCTTTTGACCAGATAAGTTCATCAAAAATACAACAAAAAACAGAATCCAAAAATAATTGAAAATTGTCAGTTTTTAATTGTCTTTTCAATCAAAATTTTTCCCAAAACGTTTCTTCTTAAACTATGGCTGAAACAGAGCTTCACTAACTTTTATTCTTAAACTACGGCTGAAACAGAGCTTCACTAAAACTCTTACCTATTTCTAGACAAGAGATTATGAATACATAGATTTAGTCAAATTTATGTACCTATGATAATTGGTAACGCCTTGTTCTTATGGAACACGCAGTGATACCCTCCCGGAGTGTTAACACACATGCTACCTCCTCTACAGTATCTGGGACGTCCATCATTGTTGAGAATTCGACACTCGTCGATATCTGTAAATGAAAAACCAAATAATTGTTGTACTAAGCAAACATTTATGGTAATACAATAAAACCGAACGAGTCAGTTTCTCACCTTTGCATCCACCTAAAAGATACGGGTTACCATTGTAACCACTGGAACATGCACAAGTTGAATACCCAATCTCATACTCATACTCCGTTAGGTTATGGCACTTGCAACGGTGATCTGAGCACCCGATAGATGAGCGATTCACAGTTTGAATTGACCACCGTAGCTGCACCGTTGTATGTTTCATCGCATAAAACCATCTAGGATCACTGATTTTTGAGGAAGGATATCTATCAAACTCATCCGTCAAAAATGCCACTTTGCACCTTCCTATTGTTGTGTTTATACTATCACCTAGTATACTGAGACCAGTCACCTGTCCGATCACATCAGGTGCTTTCTTTCTGCAGCATATGTAACCGTTGCAGCCTTTTTTATCCATTCTAGCTTCTGGCGCACAAGTGGAGACACAACCAACTATTCTTGGCTCAATTTTTCTCAAAGAAGCCTTGATGTTGCAACCAATACCAACAACGTCGTTAGCGCGACCAATGACAAAAGGTGTGCCCGTCAAGTTCAATACATCTCCAACCTCATTGCCATCAAATTTAAGAAAGACATTGGTTGGAGAGCCGCATCCTGTGGAAAAGATGTCCATTTGTATGCGAATCGACCCATATGGAGTTGATGCCCGTTGCCTTGGAAGATTGATTTGCAAAACTGTTTTATTTATGCCCGGCAAGAATGGCAGAAGCTGACCGGAAGCAGGATTCCTATGGCATTGAACTTCGTGCCATTTACTGAGGTAACATGCCTCTCCGATCCCGAACGGATACGGGATTGAAACACTTCCACAGTTTCTTTGGCAATTGTTCTTAGCTAATGCTGAACCAAATATAGCTAACGCTAAATGCACCAACAAGAGAAACACGTTCTTCATCTTAGACAGAAACATGTTTTTCCTCTCAACAGAAACAGAGCAACGAGACACTTAACCGTAAGCCTTAATTCTTCCTATACCTAAGCAGAGAAAAAATTTCTTCAGTATAGAATACCTTTTCACTTCATAAGCCGATATACTGGATCTTGTGTAATTCCTTCTTTTTTTCGTGGTTTTGATGCAGAGCAATGAGCAGAGAAATCAGAAATGTTTGTTCTGGACTTGATTTGCTTTTACCGGGAAACATTTTGTTCTTTTCATTTCATTAAAACAAGTATACGTAGTTTCCTATAACAGAAGGTTGTTTTGTTGTCAATGTCAACTTTTGTTTCAAATAAAACAAATACCCTGGATTTTTGTATAGCCTCCATATATTTTTTTTTTTTTTTTTAATTTCCATTAGAAAAAACGTCCAACAACATACATGGCAAATGCCCAAATAGAGGCCACAGGCCCACACCAGAAAGAAACAAACCATTTCTTGGAATCAACAACCTACAAAAGAGAGAAACGAAAAGAGCAGAGGAACATCACTGAAACAATGAGAACCAAGTTGCTAGAAGGGTTAGAGCAGGAGGAATACAACGCTGTTTTCTCGAGAGAGGGTCGAGTCTCGCCCTGGCGATCATCTTAATTTCCTTGATGAGCGAAGGCGCAGACCTAGGAGAGGCAGAATGAATGCGCTGGTTCCTTTCCCGCCAGATTAAGTACATGGAGGCTTGATGAAGGAGCTTGATTATGAGAGTGATATTCTTGTTTCTCGAAACAGTATCAACCCAAAGGAGACAGCTCATAAACTTGGTTGGAGGAGTCAGGTTAGCCTTTGAAGTAAAGTAGCCCCAAATGCTAGCACTGAATCTGCAGGCAAAAAACAAATGATCCCTGGACTCATCTTGGGAATTACAAAGGATGCAGAACGCCGGGACAGCCAAGCCCCAGTTCCTCAATCTGTCTCTCGTATGCAGCCTATTCCAAGCAACAATCCAAGAAATGAAGGCATGTTTTGGGATGTTGCCACTGAACCACACAGACTTGTTCCAAGGTACCGTGGCTTGAGGAGGATAGAGGGCAAGCCAAGTCTTAGACGCAGAGAAGGTGTTTGAGGGAGCATGATGATCATATTTCCATAGATATGAATCGTCATTCTGGCTCTCAATCATGTTCTCCGGACTTGGGAGGATATTTCTTAGTAAGGTGATGGTCTGGTTCCTGCTTCTAGAAGAAGAAAGCCTCCAGGAGTTACCAGCCACAGCATCCCTAACCACAGCATCAAGAGGCAACCCAATAGTTTGTGGACCAAGAGGACTTGTTAAATCAATAAGAGGCCCATACCCTGTCCAATTATCCTGCCAAAACTTTGCAGTGATACCAGACCCCAATTCGCAGACAAACACTACAAGAAAACAGTCGTTTTACGACTACGACAATAGTCACTACTTAGTCGTAAAACTGGATAATACGACTAGGTTACGACTAATACCCGTAGTCGTAAATATTTAGTCGCTAAAATAAATAGTCGTAAATTTAGTCGCCTTTTAACGACAAACATACGACTAATATATATGAGTCATATATTAGTCACTCATTAGTCGTAACTTTTGATGACTATTTGGCGACTATGTTACGATTAATCAACACTCATATAAGGTCTGTTTAGTGCAGTCGTATACATAGTCGTTAATTTGTAGTGACTAAATGGCGTCTATTTTACGACTATAAATGCGACTATTGTAAGACAGTCATTACTTAGTCGTTAATAAAAGCGACTATATTGCGACTAATATACGACTTTTTTATGACTAATTGGCGACTATTGTTGCGACTAATATAAGAATTTGGCATTTCGGATTTTGTTTTCAAATTGTTTGGATTCCGATTTTGTTTCATTTCCGATTTTGTTTTGAAATTGTTTGGATTCAGATTTTGTTTCATTTCTAAGTTTGATTCCATAACCCAAACAACATTAATCTAAAACCAAATAAAAAAAAAAGAACTCCAAATCAAATAAAAGCCAAAACACATACAAAAGTACATCATTCACTATCAAAGTACACATACACACCATTCACAATCAAAGACACTTATAAAAAACTGAGAGAGTGATAAAGTTTTTGTTCATGATAAAAGAGAGATGAAAAGGAGAAACCTATGGATCATTTTGAGGAAGAGGCGAGAGAGGGTCTGTGGTTTCTTGAGGAGCTGAATGAGTGGCCATGAAGTCCAGGAAGTGCGGATCGGTTTGCCGCAGATACTTCTCTACCAAAGACAAGTGTGCGAGCTTCTCCTTTTGCTCAGCCGCTACTCGGGTTTGCTCAGCTTTACGGGCAGCTTCCTCAAGATCTCTCTTTTCATTATATGATGCCTGCTCTTCTATCTTGCGTTGAGCTTCCTTCAGCTGTTCTTGCAGATCCAGAAAGGATGTAGATGAAGATGAAGACTGTCCATAGCGCTTGCGCTTGCCAAGAGTCTCTTTGAGGCTTCCAATTCCATACGGAATTCCTCTAGAATCTACCTCAGTGGACTGTAAAAAAGTAAGAGAACAGCTGAGATTAGAGAAGGGTTAATTGAACTCCAGATTATATAAATGTAATTTGGAAAATTGAAACTTAACCTGCAGAAAGATGGTGGTGCAGTCCTCTGTTGTGAGCTCCCGGAGACGTGACTCGCCATCTGAAACACTCGAAGCATCTGCCTCTAGCTGAGACAACCTCAGTTCCAAATTCTGCTGGTATGTTGTTGCTATTTTCTCCTCCTTCCGATCAACATACGTACCATCTGGCTTAGTATGGGTCTTGATGAAAACCTCACCAAGACTGACCGCTCTTCCCAGTTGCTCTTCCTTCATTGTAACCAAATAACATGTGTTAACCAGTCATAATGAAAAGATAAATAAATAACAGATATATGAAGTCACTGACCATTTCATCTTTGATTTGTTGAAACGACTTAGGGCCTGAGAAATGAACGTGAGGACCAAGTCCGCCACGGTCAGACTTGCGAACTTTTGAATATGTTTCACTCCTCTTCTTCGCTTCTTCAGTGTCCCAGTAGGTGCACATTGTTTCCCAGAGAGTGTCACCAATCCATGGAGGTCGCTCTCGACTTGTCCTCGCTCCGCTAACCATATCTTTCATCCGGCGCTGACATATATCCTCAAAATAATATTGCACGGTGCCTGTTATCAAGGGATCCCAATGGTGTGTTTTCTACAAAAAAAAAAAGAAAAAAAAAAAAAAAAAAAAAAAAAAAAGCGGCTCAACAATTACCTCAGACGGCAGTCAGCTTCATGCTGCAGGCCACTCTAGACGAACAAAATTTAACTATGCAACAGGTCTGACGAATAAGTCAAGTAAATTAGCCATCATAGAACAAGAAACAACAACTCCATAAACCATAAAATAAAGGCAGAATAAGAAGTAAGCAAGAATCATACCATGAGGTGTTTTCCACGGGTTCGGGACAGAGCACGGTGGTCCACTGTTCCCTACCAGGCACACTAAGCAACGCATTCAATGCCCGCAGCGAGTCCTCCTGCAGCTCCGGCAACTCGTGAGGAATCTCGTCCTGGAAGTTGTTGCCTTGCGAGGAAGTCGTGTGGGGATGAGCCTCACTATGAGCCGGAGAATCCTGAACAATTGGCTGAGGAGTCGCTTGAGGCTGTGGGTTGTTCTCCACTTCTTCTGAGTGAGTCGCATCAACTCCACGTGGTTGAGTTCCGGAGTTCTGGAATAGTTGCTGAGGCGGTGGATAGTCCCGGACTGTCGTTGCCTGAGCTTGTAAATTAGCAGGTGGTACTTGAGGAGACTGCGTCGGAGGCACTTGGACCGCCGGAGTGAAGTTGTACTGACTGGGTAGACTATTAGGTCGTAGACCAGGCGTCGTCCCTACGACTCTCTGAGAAACGTTAGGCACGTTTCTTCTCCTTCTTCCTCGGCCACCCATCTGAGAGATCTGAGAGAACTGGGGAAGAATATGGAAGTAAATCGATCGATTTCAGTGAGAACTGGGGAAGAAGAAGAAGAAGATCGAAGTAAATCGATCGATTGGGGAAGAAATCGATCGAACAGAGAAAGAAAAAATTAGGGTTTTCAGAGGCGAAAACCGATCGATCGATTGGGGAAGAAGAAGAAGAAGAAGATCGAAAGAAGAAGAAGAAGAAGAAGAAGATCGAAAGAAGAAGAAGAAGAAGAAGAAGAAGATCGAAAGAAGAAGAAGATTAGGGTTGTGTCGTCAATTGGCTCATAAGTTAATGGGCTTATTGGGCTTGGACCGAGTAATTGGCTCATTTCATTTATTTTAGTCGCTATTTAGACGTCAATTAGTCGCATAATGTGATATATAGTCGTTTAAAAGACGGTAAAATGTCGCATTTTTATTTAAAACATAATAAACATAAGTAGATAACCTTAACATATAAACATAATTAATATCATACAAAAAAACACAAGTACAAACATATAGAAAATATTTAGTAAGGTTCATCGGATTCTGGTTCTTCCTCATCAGAAGACGATAAATTGCATCGGAATTCATCTTCTGGTTCAGCATCGCAGACATCGTAATCGAGTACTATTGGGTTTGATCTCTCTACCGGATTGTCTAGTACAAGATCTTCAATTGTAGTCATCAAAACAGCATCATCATTTTCTGTTTGCAAAAGAGTCGGATCATTGGTTTCATATTCTCCTGAAATGTTTCCTCTTGGATTCACTTTTAGAACATTGAGCCAAATTTGCTTCGGTTTCTTTGTATATGGATATGGAATATAACAAACTTGATCTGCTTGAGAGGCTGTAGACATAAAAATTTGCATGAGATTTATAGATATATATATATATATATATATATATATATATATATATGATATCAAGAATAAATGGTTGGTATACATAAGTACATACCTAGAATAAATGGCTCGTATTTATTGTATTTTCTCGATGATAGAACGTCTACTACGCCACCATTTCTCCTCCGAGTACCTCGACCGAGTTTAGGGTCATACCAGTTACACTTAAAAAGAGTGATCCTCAAATTGACCATGCCTTCATACTGGAGTTCAATAATATCCGTTAAGGTTCCATAGAAATCTGCCTCATCTGATGCATCCGTGTAATTTTCACCTTTAACACACACACCATAATTACATGTCTTTCGTCCAGCTCCGTGCTTCTGCGTATGAAACAAATAACCTCTTGTAAAGTACATTGGCCAAGTTTTGACCTTGTTCAAAGGTCCATGGACTATCTCTTGAACCCAAGTAGGAAATGGATTAGTCGAGTTCCAATATGTAACCTGCATATAAATATAAACCAACATCAATACAAAAGTTGAAATCCATGCATGTAGAAGTTATTTAATGACGTACATAGTCTTTCACCCATAAATGATATTCTTCAGCTCTTTTCGTGGAGAGTTCTTTTTCGGTCAAATCTGGATATTTTGTAGATAAAAAATCCTCGAACATACTATGCAAAACAGAAACAAATATATTAGAAATTATCATGTATATTACAAATTAAAGAGTGATTTTAGGAGAGATATTAACTTATATACCTCTCAATTGGTTGAAAATAGTCACAATTTCGTAAAACATATGCATGTGCGCATTGATAGTCTTTTTCGGAAAGCCATTCTTCATGCATTTCCCCACTTGGCCTCCCGACGTGAGTAAAAATAGTAGGTACTCCAGGGACATGATATACAGGTACTTCGCCTTCATCAAATCTTGTTAACCTGATCCAAATGAGTTAATTAAAAGTAATTCACATCAAAAATAGTGATCAATGCATTAAATTACCTTGATTTTGTTTGTATATGATCGGCAAAGTAGTGCTCTGAGAAATAAGCAATCTCGTCATTTATATATGATTCAACAATTGATCCTGCCGCATATCTTTTGTTCTTTGCTTTTCCTTTCAACTTTTTGAAAAACCTCTCATAGGATACATCCACCTATATTGGACAGGTCCACCCAATTCAGCTTCGTACGGGAGATGTATAGGCAGGTGCTCCATCACATCAAAAAATGATGGTGGAAATATCTTCTCCAAGTTGCATATGATTAGGACAATATTCTGCTTTAAAATCTGAACGCGACTACTCTGCAAAGTCCTCGAACATAAGTCCCGGAAAAATGCTCCAATCCCTATACATACAATTAAGAGGTTAAGTGTATCATCAAAACATGTTTAAAGATAAGTAGAATAAATACTATATGGAATGTGTGATTATTAGTACCTGATAACGCAATGTGGACGTTCCGGTCTAGGATTTCTGCAAAGATAAATGGAAGTAGTCGCTCCATAAAAACATGGCAATCATGACTCTTCATGCCTGAAAACTTGCCATTCTCCATATCAACACAACTAGCCAAGTCTGACGAATAACCATCTGGAAATTTAACCGCATGTTTCACACATTCCAATAAACTTGTTTTGGCAGCTGCTGTCAATGTGTAAGCTGGAAAAGGAGCTTTACCCCGACTATCAATATGTAACTGTGGCCGAGAACAAAATTGTTCTATATCCAATCTTGACATGATGTTGTCTTTTGATTTACCCTTCACATTCATAAGAGTATTCATAATGTTGTCCAAAAAATTCTTCTCTGTGTGCATCACATCAATATTATGACGAAGATTGAGGTCCCTCCAATACGGCAGCTCCCATAGTATGCTTTCCTTGTGCCAGTTATGTTGCTTCCCATAACCAGGCATCTTCTTTTCGTGACCGTTTCCACCGACGTCCTTGGTACATGGTGGATTTACACCATTCAACTTCTCGTAATAAACTTGTTCACCGGTCAAAGATTGAGGTGGATACTCTTTAGATGCGTCTCTTCCTCTTAGGAAGTCTTTTTTGTTCTTCCTTAATGGATGACCGTGAGGAAGAAATCTTCGGTGACAATCAAACCAACACGTCTTCCTTCCCTTAGGTAGATAAAAAGACTTTGTATCCTCCATACAAATTGGACAAGATAATTTTCCATGGGTGGTCCATCCTGATAACATGCTATATGCAGGAAAGTCGCTTATCGTCCACATCAGCACTGCCTTCAGATTAAAATTTTGATTCAAAGATACATCGTATGCATCGATCCCAGTAGACCACAACTCTTTTAACTCCTCAATAAGCGGTTGGAGGAAGATATCGAGACTAGCTCGCGGATGATTAGGCCCTGAATTCAGAATTGTAAGAAACAAATACTCTGTATTCATGCACATACCAGGGGGTAAATTGTATGGAGTTAGGATCACTGGCCACAACGAATGATTACGAGACATGCCAAATGGATTGAACCCATCTGTGCATAATCCAAGATAAACGTTACGAGGTTCTTCGGTAAACCGGGGATGTTGCTCTTGGAAATATTTCCACTCGGCCGCATCAGAAGGATGATTCATTTCTCCCTCCTTTGATTGATGCTCTGCATGCCATCGCATTGCCGCTGCTGTCTTGTAGCTCTGATACATTCTCTTCAATCGGTCACCAATAGGTAGATACCACATACGACTATATGGTACTTTGGTTCGTCGACGGTCATCCTTAGGCTTCCATCTTTGTGCACCACAAAACCGACATTGATCTTCCTTTTCATTTTCTTTCCAGAAAAGCATACAATTGTTCATACAAACATCAATTGTATGATAAGGAAGACCTAAATTGCGCATCAATTTCTCGGTATGGTAATGCGAACCGGTTGCCTGGTTTCCTTCTGGTAAAAAATCAGTCAACATTTGGCAAACCGAATCCACACATTTTTCACTCATATTATGATCCGCTTTGTTTTGCATGACTCGAGCAGCTAACGATAACTGCGACTGGCCTTCACGACAACCATCGTATAATGGATTTTTTGCACCTTCTAACAAGTCGTAGAATTTCTTCGAATGGTTTAGTACCGGTTCTTCCACATTCTGATAACTAAGATCCTCATAATAGTTATCATCAACCCCCACATTATAACAAAATGCATCATTCACCATATCCACATATGGATCTTCTGCTACATTACCCCCTACTTCATAATTCTCACTTACATACGTCCTATCAATGTAACTTGGTCCTATATCCATATTGAGTTCCTCTCCATGTTTATACCAAACATAATAATCTACCATAAATCCATGACTAAACAGATGACTCATAACTCTTCTACCCGAGACGATATGTTTATTGTTCTTGCAAACACTACAAGGACAGTGAAATTTACCGCGATTACTCTGGACTATAGGCTGGCTATTTGCAAACGTCAAGAATTCCTCCACACCCGCTTCAAATTCTTTTGAAAAATTTCCCGTTGCTTCATCGAACCTCTTGTACATCCACTCTCGATAATTACCGCCGTCATTACCGCCATAATTGTAATTTCCCGCCATTCCTCTAGAATAAATAACTATAAACGTTTTTTTTTCTTATAAACGCTCTGCTTTTTTTTTTCTTTTAAGTGTTGATTATGTTTGTTGTAATGAAGAGAAGAGAGAGTGATTTTTGTTATATAGACAAATTTGGTGACTAAACAGCGACTAAAATACGACTATTACTTTTACTCGCCAAAAACCGGTACACCAACCCCATCTACCTCTTCATGAAAAAAACATGTTTTTTACCGGCATTTTACGACTATTTACCGACTTTTTAACGACTATTATGCGACCCGCCGAATGAGTCGCTAAATAGTCGCCTATTTAGCGACAACAGTCATTAGTCATTCAATATAGTCGCCTATTTAGCGACTACAGTAATTAGTCATTCAATATAGTCGCCAATTTAGCGACTAAAATACGACTATAGTCGGGGTTTTAATTGTAGTCGTATAATAGTCGCTAATTTACGACTATTAGAATGACTACAGTATGTAGTCGTTAATTAGCGACAATACGACGACTATATAATTGTAGTCGTAACATTAGTCGTATAATAGTCGTATATTAGTCGTCTAATTTAGCGACTATACAATTAGTCGCCGATCGTAGTCGGTAATCGCCTGTTTTCTTGTAGTGAAAGAATGGTCTAGCAAGGGGTCTAAGTTTGCAAAGCTGTCTCCAAATCCAACTACTTGAGGAAGCCGGGTTTAAATCCCAGAAGCATCTATTACCAATCAAATTCAGGCGAATCCAGGAAACCCATAAAGAGCCAGCAGCTGAAAACAAAAGCCAAATCAACTTTAAAGCAAGCACTTTATTCCATGCCGTTAATCTCCTAAGACCAAGACCTCCACAAGCCTTAGAAGTGCAGACCACATCCCAAGCAATTTTTGCCCCTCGGGCTGAATTGGGTGCGCCCTTCCATAAAAAAGCGCAGCACATCTGTTCAAGTTTGAGTAGGCAGTGATTTGGAAGAAGGAAGATAGAGGTCCAGAAGTTTATGGTGGAAAAGATGACCGATTTCAGTAACTGTAATCTTCCCGCATAGGAGAGGTGTCTAGCAGTCCAAGAAGTGAATCTGAGATTAACCTTGTCAATTAGGCGCTGATAATCTTGTTTTCTCATCTTTTGAGCCATTAGCGGGACTCCCAAGTAACGAACAGGGAGAGCACCTTGAGTGAGGTTAAATTGGGCTGCCATGGAACGATTTCTCTCAAAATCGCCACCATCAATCAAGAGGGCGATTTTCTGTATATTGACTCCCAGACCAGAACCAGCTTTGAAGTCGTCTAAAATTTGAAGGATGCCAGCGATAGAGGCAGCAGAACCATCAGAAAAGACTAACACGTCGTCAGCGAAGCTCAGATGAGTGACAAGAGGAGAAAAGCACTTAGGATGAGGCTGGAAAAGACCACTAGCAGCGCCTTTGTCTAAGGATCTAGACAGAACATCCATAACAAGAACAAATAGATGAGACGACATAGGATCCCCTTGTCGTATCCCTTTCTTTCCTTGGAAGAAGCCAATCAATTCTCCATTGAAGGCAATGCTATAAGAAGGAGAAGAAATGCAAACCCAAATCCAGTTGATAAAAATCTCAGGAAGCTGCATTGCCTTAAGGATATTGATGAGGAAGGTCCAATTCACGTTGTCATAGGCCTTTGAGATATCTATTTGCAGGCAGCCTCTAGAAACTGCCCCAATTGTGTGAAAGTTCTCAACTAGTTCAAAAGCAAGAAGAACATTTTCACAGAGCAGTCTCCCTTTTATAAAACCTACCTGATTGCCTTGGACTGCATCCGAGATAAACAACTTGAGCCTCTTGGATAACAGACGAGTGATGATTTTGTAGACTGTGTTACAACAAGCGACAGGTCTGAATTTGGATAACTGGTCAGCCCCTGGATCTTTGGGAATTAACGTGATGGCAGTTGCGTTGAATTTTTTTAGTAGATGACCTGTCCTGAAAAAATCCCTAACCGCCGCCACAGTGTTGTCCTTTACCACAGTCCAAGCCTCCCAAAAGAACTCGGCCGAAAATCCATCTGGTCCAGGAGCTTTGTTTTTTGGCATGGAGAAGAGAGTTTGGATGATTTCTTCATCGCTTGGAATGGCTGTGAGTTTGGCAGCAAGATCAGAGTTACACCGAAATGGTTGAAGCTCTTGTAGCCTTTCAACAGAGAAAGGCTGAGATATGTCACTCGCAGAACCCAAAAGATGAGAGTAGTATGCAATGATCATATCCTTAATCTGATTGACATTATCCACCTTTTCATTGTTCTCACCCCGGAGATAAGTGATAATATTTTTTGCTTGATGAGCAAGAACCGCTCTGTGGAAAAAAGTTGTATTGGCGTCTCCTTCTAGCAACCAGCGAATCCTGGATTTCTGCTTGTAGAAAGACTCTAAGGCAGTCGCAAAAAAATCCCATTTTTTCTAGCAACATGCTCCTCTCTGAAAAGAGAATCAGACGGAGAAGAGAGTAATTCCGATTGGATATTCTCTAAGGCCAACAGAGCATCCTTGGTCTTTTGCTGGATATTACCAAAACCAATCCTGTTCAATCTCTTGCAACAAATCTTAGCCGCCTTTAGGTGTTCACCAAGAGAAAACATAGCTGAGCCCACCATAATCTGTTCTTCCCAAACAGCCAAAATAGAAGAGATGAAATCTGGATGTGTGGAAAGGAAGGAGAAGTACCTGAAACATTTTTTTGATCTCGCAGGTTGAGTGTCTAAATTGATGATGCAAGGAGCATGGTCAGATTCGCCAGGAGGATCAAAAACAGCCACTGCATTAGGGAAAGTAGAGAACCACTCACCATTTGCTAAGGCTCTGTCCAGTTTCCTTATTATGGGATTGTCATCCTGATGATTAGACCAAGTGTAATAAACCCCACGACTAGGAATATCATCCAGCTCATTATCCCTTAAGCAATTCTGCAAATCCTCCATTCCATTTAAAGACATAGTAGAATGAATAACCGAGAAGTGCTCAGAAGAATTCGCAATCTGGTTAAAGTCTCCAACCAAAGCCCAAGGAGTAGTATTTAGGGGAGAAGAAGAAGATAACGCAGAGATATCATCCCACAAAAACCTTCTCGCCGCTGGGGTGTTTCTTCCGTAGACAAAAGCGATCACAAAGGATCGAACAACATTAGGCAGCTTTATACTGCAGAGAATCAGCTGATCTGACTTCTTGAAAACCACACCTGAGACCGATGGATGCCAAACAACCAAAATACGTCCCAAATCTGAGAAACTATAATTATTATCCGAACGCCAACCAGGAAGAGTGGAGGCTAAGACTGAAGAAGCGTTGTCTTCAGAGACATGGGTTTCCAAAAAAGAACCAACCAATAAACTATTGGAAGCAACCCAACTTCTGACCATTCTCTGTCGGCCATGGCTATTCAAGCCTCTTATATTCCAACAAAAAACCCTCATAATGAACAAAAGGGGAGGGGTTGAAAGCTGAGCTTTCAGAGATGAGCTGTTCCGCTCGAGGACGCGCCTTGAACGGGAACATAAACTGCAGGAGACTTAGAACTTATATGGTTATGCCATTTCTTCAATAGTTTTTTCCTCTGTTTTTTTGACATGACGCCCCAGCCTGGTGGTATAGGAAAATTGGGATCAATCTCCTTGCCTTTCTCTCTACTTGTGACTTTGTCCTTCCCATGTTTTTTCTTATCCTCAACAAAACCAGAAAGAGTTCCTTCAGGAGGAGTAGTCTTCGATGGAGCAATCACTGCAGAGTTAACCCGTAAGGCCTTCCCTTTAACAAGATGATCCTGAGGAGGTATGATGATCAAGGTAGAGGTCGCTGGACCTTGAGTAGAAGGTGGGGAGCTTCTTGATCTTTTGCTTGATCGAGATCTCCTTCTTTTTGGCTTAATGGTCTCTGAATCCGGAATAACCTGATTGTCCCCAATTGGCAACACAGAATCTGACCGAGAAGGGAGGATGACTGAAGGATGAGCCACATCAGAAGAACCTGCGGGAATGATTTTCTTGAAAGGAGACTTCTTCAAGAGTGGAGAAGGACATCGACTAAGCAAGTGACCATACTTACCACAATTGAGGCAATGAGGAGGTGGACGCGGATATTCCACCTCAATACGAGCTTTGTTCCCTTGAACATCTCTGACTATGACAGTGGTGGGAAGAATCTTATCAAGCTTAATGACAACTTTCACCTTTGTCATACCCATATTGATCGGATCAAGCCTCGACTTCTCAGTGTGAAGAGGCTCACCTATACCACTGGCGATGACACTAATACCGTCAAAAGAATATAATTGAGGAGGGACGTTTTTCAGAATCGCCCACGTCGGAGCAGTCTGCAACTCTTCTAATTCCGAAAGGCCTTCTGGAGACCAAGGGTAAACTGTGCAAGAACAGTTACCAGCTTGCCAGAATCCCACATCAACAACCCAATCACGAGTGGCAACTGAGGGAATGAAGATCAGAGAGGCCGTTTCTGATATCACTCTCACTGTGATATTACCGTATCTACCCCAGATAGGATTCAGGTCATTGAAAATCCTCAGAAGACGTGGGACAGAGACCATGGAATTGCGCAATCAAATGCCCCTTCCACATCTCAGCCGTCTAAAGAAGAACTGAAGCCGGAGCAGTGACAACAGGAGTACCATCCTCGAGAAAGGTTGGTGAGGACATCTGTTTTAGGTTCCTGAGAGAAGCCTTAAACTTCTGAGCCCAAGGAAGAATCACATTCGACTTGTTTGGTCCGTTTTCTTGCTGCAGAACAACAGAAGGAGATGGAGGCAGGATTGCTTCAGACTTGGTCGAGCTTCCTGGAGGTGAGGGTGAAACCACAGTGGAGGAGATCTCAGACACCGTGTGTACCACGATAGGAGATTCGGCCACAATTTTAGGAGAAACAACAGGAGAATCCTTAATCTCACCAAAATTGTCAGGTCGAAGAGGAATTGAAGACTGAGAGATGGTTGTCGGAATTAACTCCTGTTCCGGAGACGAGGGAAGAATTCCCATTATCTCAACAGTAGAGGAATCAACCAAATCGACCGGAGAGAACTTTATCGGTATGGATCCGGCGGGGGCCGAAACCCGAGAGCGAGAGACTGGCTTAACAGTGGAGGCAGAGGAAACACGAGCAAACTTGGAGGTGACCGGAACATGCCATTTCGGCCGAGCTTTCTTCGCCGGCATCAAGAATTCTCACCCAACGGCGTGTGGCCGGGAGGCGGCGGCGATTAGGGTTACGGAAACTAATCGCCTTTGGAATCGCACGAAGAGAGAGAAAATCCTTTTTTCGTCGACTCAGCTTTTTTATTTTGTTGCTCGTTAGCCTCCATTTTTCATCCAGTAAAAGTTAAAAAGAATTAAAGAACAAAGATTCGTCCCAAGAAGAAAAAAAAAATGTCCCGGCAAAAGCAAATCAAGTCCAGAAAAAACATTCATCTTCTCATTGCTCTACGTCAAAACAGCAAAAAAAGGAATCACACAAGATCATGTATATCTTCTTATGAAGTGAAACGAACAGAGAGATTTAATGCTCCAGCCTACGAGCCTAATAGTCTGTACAGTTGGAATAGGACACAAGCTCCTTATAAAGTACCCGACGAAGGAAACCAAGCTTCCAAGTCATACTTTTTTGCAGCTGCATCATTCAATGCTCCAGAGACGACCAAGACGATTTGGTATGGAAAGGTTTAGCTGGTTAGAAAACTATTGGGAATTCATAAGGTTTCCCATCTCATCATCCGAGTTCTTCATCATCTCATCGACCATTTCCCACGAAGCATTCTCGTAGAGAACTAGTGATGCAAACCTGGTGAACACGGAAAATGCCACGTGTGTCTCTTTCATGGGAACCAGCTTCTGTTCTAAAGCAGGACGAGTAAGAAACGATCGTCTTAAAGCTGCGACTATCTTTATTTATATATTTATATAATATACCTTAGGGGACGATCAGTCGGATGGATCCACTCAGAAGCCGGTCCAAAAGGGCTCTGAGACCAGAAAAGAAACATACGTTTACCAAAGTATGGAAACACAAATCCTTGTGGCTTGTGAGTTGACTAGTGAAGCTAGCATATCCATCAGAAGATCCAAAAATAGCGCTGAGACAAGAAAAGAAACATATATTGATCATCAGTCTCCATTAAACCAGAAGCAGAAAGATAGACAGAAACAAACTCAAGACTTAAAAAGAGACCTGCATTGATTTGAAGAGCTGAAAACTGATCACACCTTCGTTTTTGTTTCCCTTTTAGGCCTGACATTCGAAATCAGAAATCATCAACTTATGCACAAACAACATTAACTGCATCAGCAAACACAACGGTAACTTCTTTCTCAAACTCCGAAGACCTGTCCCAGTCCGGTTTTTATAAATCGTTGGTCAAAACTCAAAATCAAATGTTAACCGATCACTTATCACAAATAATATCACGTCAATGACCGTAACTTATTAAATACGTGTACATTTGGAATTTTTGCCAATTCTTTTGATATCTATCTCTCTCTCTATATATATACTAGATTTACTCGCCCGCGCATCAAATTTTAACTGGCTACAATACAAAATGTTAAAAATAATCATAATCATTTGAATTTCAAAAACTATATATATATATATATATATATATATATATATATATATTCATACTTATTTTACAAAACAATATACAACATAGAAATTATAAAATATATTTGGTAGATACCACGTAATAACAAAAGTTATATAAGATCAATCGGTCTCGGTAGTCATCAATGAACTTTTATCAAAAAGAGAGTTATTTCCATAAACAAATCTTGTAAGTATATTTGTCGTGATGTTTTGTTGATCTATTCGTACCTCATACTAAAAGTAAATTTGCTGAGTTTGAACATCAATTTATGAAAATGTATAAACGTTATATTCATGCCGTTTCAATAGGTTTGGAGAGCACATTTTACCTATTGAAGCAAGACCATCATACCTTAAAGAAAGTTTTGACCAAATCATGAATGTTTTTATCTTATCTATCCTACTACGCTTACATGGCTCGACGATTTAACTCGAGGTTGAATATGTTAGTCTGGTTTATAGTCTGGTTTACTAAACCAAACTATCCAATAATGCATACATATATCTGATGCTTCAAGCATTACTAAATTTCTCTTCAAACATTTTTTCGTCATCTTCTATAATGCACTTGTTCGCTACCCAACATCTACTATTCTTTTATCTTCTATGCTCACTTACATATAATAAAACTTTAAATTGATTCTTAATTCAAAACTATTTCCTCATTTTCATCTTCTTAGTTTATTTTTCTTTTATTAATTATATGGTTTTCACGCTTTAACGTAATATAATTTTACGAAAGATATATATTTGTTAAAATTTCTTCAACAGTATTTATTTAGATTCTTAATTACCTATATTTAAGCAACTTCACCTTTTTATTTAGAAAGCAAACAATAATATAGATATAATTATATTATTTTAATTCTTATATTTTAATATAATTTAATATTAAGATACAATTAATCTTTCTATTTTTTCGTCAATGTGAATTTATACTATTACTCTCTTGAAATATAGTTTTCAATTTTAAATATAAATTATTTCTTATATCTTAAAAAACTTATACAATCATACATTTACTATAACATTTAACCATTTATTTTCTAAATATAAAAATAATATTATTTTAAATAAATTTCTTCCACTTCATTATTATCTCTTAAAGTTAATGTTTCAATGAAATATGAATATCTTCTTATTATTAAAAACAAAAAACTCTTATAGTCTTCCATTTCAATTGAATTCTTTTGTTCATCCTAAATTATATTTGAGGTTTTCTTATTAAACGTTTTTTTATTTTTAATAAGTTCTTATTTGTTTGTAATTGTATAATAAATTTCATTAAGAATCCTTTTGTCCATCTTAAATAGCATTAGTATTCCTATGAAATTTTCAAATATTTTGAAATAATTATTAGTGGGATCCATAATATTAATTTGGTGATGATGTGGACACCCTAAGAGGAGAAAAACTCTCCCATTATATATATAGATTGCTAAGTTAATAAATTTTCTTAATAAATCAGAGTAACACAATTAATGTTTTTTCTTTTCATTTTGAGGGTCAAAGAGTTAAACAGTTAATGATAATCTCTCTACTAATTAATAGTCAACAGTTTCCAAATTAATGAATATCTTTACTAATTAAATCTATACAACTTTTATATATAACACATTAGCCAAAAAAATTAAAAAAAACTCTCGTAGAAAACAAAAATGAAGAACAAGTCAATTTATGGCTATATCATCATCGTCGTCACATTATTGTCGGTCGTGGCTCGAGTCACCCTAGCTCAACCTCCAAAGGGACATCCAGGAGCCGATATCAACCCGCAACAAACTCTTGCGGCTCATAACAAAGCCCGAGCAGAAGATGGGGTGGGTCCAATGGTGTGGAACGATACTCTTGCAGCCTATGCACAGAGCTTTGCTAACAAACGTATCGGAGATTGTGCTCTAACGCATTCCTCGGGACCTTATGGTGAGAATATTATTCTCGGGAGATATCCGGACTCCAACCTGAGCGGACCCGTCGCGGTTGGATATTGGATGGAGGAGAAACCAAATTACAATTATAAACTCAATAAGTGTGATTTTGCGTGCCATGACTATACTCAGATCGTTTGGCGCAATTCGGTCCGGCTCGGTTGCGGTTCGGTGAGATGTCAGAATGATGCGAACGTATGGATCATATGTAGCTACGATCCTCCGGGAAATATCCCTGGTGAACGTCCCTATTGATGTTTACTATAATGAATCTAAAGCATATATTGAGCTATGTGCTTTTATGATATTAATTAAACAAAGAATAAACTAATCAATGAAAATTTTATAGTTATTATGATTAATAATGCCTGGTTACATGATAACATTTGACCTAGTATAAACAATTACATTGCAAATCAATAAAATAAAATAAAAGCAATCATATACGTAATAAATTTACGTACTCCCTATTGACCAATTGTATAGTTAAGCTAAGCCAGTGTGACAACTATAATCACAACTCACAAGAACATTTGAAAAATATCGAAACGACACCGTTTCCACATTTTGTGATCTTTTCGGATTTTTTAATAACCGGAATCCGGTTTGAGATTTATTTGGATTTTGTTAATTTTGATTTGTCTCTGCAATTTCTCAAGAGCCAGAGGCTAGAATGCCACTAAACCAGAAAAATGAATCACACCTGCCATTTTAGAGTATGTATGCCATCATAGTATGTGTTATTTCTATTTTGCCCTTACTGAATATTTTTGATTTAATTAATTTTGAGAAATTAAAACTAAAAGAAAAACAAAAAAATAAAAACAATTTTCTCGCATCCTCACGAGACCTCCGATTTTCTCCTCCCACACCGGAGCGGTTCGCCCACCGATCTCGCCGGCCATCGTCTTCGGCGTCTCATCCTTGCAATCTGTTTGTTCTTCTCTCTCCTCCGCCATTGATGAAACTGAGAGATTCTTTCTTAGTTCCTCAATCTTCCGCCATGGATATCAACAACAACCACCACCGCTCCGACGACGATGAC